AAAAAAAAAAAAACCCAATGCTGTAGAGGTGGAAATAATTTAAAACCCATTCTTTTTTTTTTTTCCAGTACCAGGGATCCAGCTCAGGCAGGCCCAGCACCACTAAGCTATATCCCTGGCCCATAAAACCCATTCTAAAGTTTAGAGTGAAGCCTGGTTAGAAATTTAAATGTCATTAATGAAAAATCTCTGTAATTACCATGGAAAAAGGAATTTATTTACATATTTGTAGTAGTAATGGCAAATCCTTTAACTACACATACATCCAATAAATATATTTTGTTGATATTTATGTGTAATAAAAACAAAAAAATGAGTTCCAGGAAGGTTGCAACTGATATACTGAAATCCTGCTGGGGAACTGCAAATTGAAACTACATTTTGGTAAAATTGTATAGCAAACACAGGAATTACAGAGATATTATATGATTTTAACCAGTACTCCTGATTATTAGAGGGGTGTAATTCAGTACATAGTCATGAAAATTGACCTTACAAATATGATGTATATTACCATAATGAGATAGTTTAATATTTATGTGAATATATTTCCTCAAAGTGGAAAGATGAACACTGAAGAAACATGGATATTTAAATTGATGTTAAAACATTATTTGTAATGATCATAATAATATAAGTATATGAGCAGATAAATCTGGAAGAGCATTAAAAATGAAAATTGTCAGAATGGCAAGGTTATAGAGAATTTTCTCTCTTTTTTTAAAAATGAAGTTGGTGTAAGACAACTTTTTGATAGCACTTTAAATATACATAGGAGGCAGGTGGGACGGACCTTGGTGACCCCCAAGCCTCACGTCCTTTCCACTGTCCCCAGGCAGGGCCGCGGTACTGACAGGGCTGTGGGCGCATCTGCAGTGGAAGGTCTGCCTCTGGGGGCTGGAGATGAGACAACCACGTTTGCTTCATGCACAGACTTAGTATCATTCACACATTCACCACGGAAGAGGAAGGAGAAGGCCACAAAGCGCGGGCTTAGCACGAGCAGGGCATAGGAACTTTTTGTTCAAGAAAAGAGCATGAGTCTTGCGAAGACTTTCCGCCCTTCTTCTACACCCACCCGGAAGCCCCCTCTCTCCACAGGAAGCGCGCTGACCCTGCAGGAATAAAAGAGCGCGGCCAGGAGGCCCTGATCACTGCGGCCTTCAGAGCGCAGCAGGACCTCAGCCATGAGACTTCTGCTCCTGGCCGTGCTGGGCTCCTGCTGCCTCACCGCCTGCCTCGTGGGAGGTAAGTCGAGGCGCTGTTTCCGAGACCAGCAGCAGGGGTGCGAGGCAGGTGGCTCTCGGGCTTGGGGTTCGCTCAGTTTGGCTGCAGGAAACTGCACCCCAAGGTGAGCCTGGGAGCCCCAAGTGCGCACTGGGAATGGCAGTGTGACGCCGGGCTGGGTGGACTCCCGGACAGAGAACCGGGTCAGCATCCGCTCAGCGCTTCCTGATTGGGTGCTTTGGGGTACATTTCCTAGCGTTCGGGGCCTATGCTTATTCATCTATAAAATCAATATTAAAACGCTACCAGGATTAAAATGAAATACATTTTCTGATTTATGGATTTATGGATTATTTAATCACATCAAATCTTACAAATAGTAACTTTTTAAAATCATTGTTAGTGATAGGGTGGTGGTGACGATGATAAATGCATTTGTGGGTTTTGCCCGTTTAATGCTGATTGTGATAAATTCTGAAAATCTTTGAAAGTTCCACCACAATACGGGAATGAGTTAGAGGATGTATGTCCTGAAGCAAATCAATGTTTTCTATGTAAAACTCAAATGAAAAATGACTGGAAGAGCATACTTTCATATCCAGAATCAATAGTACCTTCAAGGAAGTGCGGGAGTTTGTTATTACTGCCGTGAATGTCACAGCTCATGATGGAGTTCTTGAATTTGTAAGAGATCGCATAGTAACAGCTGTTAACAGACAGAGCAACACCTTCCCCACAGTCGAATGACTCTGCTCCTCTGCTCGCCACACCCTGGTGAGATCCAGATCCGCTGAGCCCGCCCCGAGCCTTCAGCGGAGTTTTCTTAAGGATCGCTTTTCCCGCGGGCTGCAGTCACTGCGCAGATTGAGGCAACAGCACCGTGACTTGAGCGGATCCCGAGAGGGTCGGAGTGTGAAGTGGCAAAGTCTGGAACTCTGTGATTGGGCGAAGTAAAGGATGCTGATGAAGCGAGGAAGTGTAGGAGTTTAGGACGGCGCAGCTGGGCAGGCGTTAGGGCCTGGCTGGGTCTCTGCTGAGCGGCCAGGCGCAGACCCAGATCTGGGCGGGGCGGGCACAGTGCTGCTTCGCAAGCCTCTGAGAACTGCGGCCACTGGCGTCCAGGGCTCAGGTTTTCTCCAGGAAGGAGCTTTATAAACCCCAGTGGACCTCAGCTTCTTAGGAGACACCGGGGTGCAACAATCTTTGCTTCCACTCAGCTCTGCCCCCGGTGCCAAGGCAAAGTTCTGAGGGCACAGACTCCCAGACTCGCGGGATGAGCACTGGGTTTGGGGTACAGGCGGGCGCCTGGGGTGGGGTCCGTGTTAGGTAGTCAGAGAAGCGCTGTTTCTTAAGCAGTGAGAGAAGGAGAAAAGAGGCCAGCGCTCCCTTCCAGGGAGTCCAGAGCCTGCTCAACAGGAAAATGAACTGGCAAAGGCAGAGGGTGAAGAAGGTGCAGACTGACAGTGAGGGCAGCGGAAAGGAGCAAGGGAGAGAGGCAGTGTTGGGGAGCAACTTCTGTTTGGCCACTTGCTTTTAAAAATGCCCTCTGATACAGCAACATTACAGACCAAACTGGGTCATCATTGCCAGCGTCTGAAGCTAAGGAGAAGATCAGTGCTTGGAAAGTTGGATTAGATTTTGCCAAACCCTTAATATTATTAACTCCCTCAAGCACTTTTCCCTTCTGCAATGTAACATGGTTCTCTCAACTTCACAGCTTAATTTCCCTTGGCCCCTTCCTTTGAGGATGAGCACTCCAGGAAACCCTCCCTTTATATACTTCACATTTTACCATTAAAATGAGAAGACTTGATTTATTCAGCCAGAAGCGAGCTGCTTCCCCCATTGAATGTTGCCTTGGCCAAATTACTCTCCATCACGTTCTCTCATTTATAGCACGGAGGGTGACACTCTTGCTATTTGAAGTTGTCTCCGGCCTCCACTCGTTTGCTGCCCTGACTCTCACTAGAAGACGTGCCCAGGGCAGCAAGGCCCGTGTCCGTCCTCATGAGAGCCTTGGCGTTAAGGGCACAACAGGCACGGGATAAGCAGTTGCTGCAGAAATGAACGAGTGCCATGGTGGCATCGGCCCCCCATTGCGGAGGTCTTGAAAATACAAGCTCGGATAATGCCTTGTTATTTTGTCTCACCACGGCGAGGTGCCTGAAGCTATGCACTTGATCTAATATTTTAAATCGGTCAAACACTGACTAAGCCTGCATGATGTACAGGAGACTGAGGATGCCAATAAGAACCATCTCTCCCAAAAGGGAACAGTGGCTGATGTTCCTCCAACATTCTTATAGTCATTTAACAGGTGATGGTTCTCCTGAACTTGGTCATTGTTAACTTGCATTTTTATTCATGTTTTCTGTAACCAGGTGTGGGCAGTGAAGTCCCAGAAAGGAGTATCTGTGTGAGTCTAACAACCCAGCGACTGCCAGTGAGCAGAATCAAGACCTACACCATCAAGGAGGGCTCCATGAGGGCGGTGATGTGAGTGTCTCCCCGCGGCTGGGCTTGGTGTAGAGAAACAGAGGACAAAGGAGAGAGCAATGCTGCCCCCTTCAGGACGGATGGGTCGGCCTGGAGGAAAGAAACCCTCCAGCCCTCTGGCTTCTCCCTATTCATCCTGTCTCCATGCAGCCCTCCTACATAATGACTATTGCCAAAATTCAGCCTCCAGATCAAGAATATAAGTCCTCTCTTGCGACTTTGCCTAACAGAAGAGTCTGGCTGGTAACCGCAGGAAAACGGTGCCCAGTTAAGAGCTGGGGGCTTAGGCAGGGCTGCCCAGGCCAGGATTTGCCTGCAGAGCCAAATGAGGGTGGGAGCCAGGTAGAGGGCAGAGCATGCAGTGCCAGGAGGTGGCTGTGGAGGGAATGGTCATTCTCCTTCCTGATCTCATTTTTAGGAGTAGCAGCTCCCCCAATACATATTTATAGGCTTTACCCTAAGAAATGAATCCCAAAATAAGTTTGCCTAGGTTTGAAAAGGAATAGGATATGTAGGATAGCTGAACTAGATGGCCTTAATTGTCCAGTTTAGTTACAACACGTGACAGAACTGGTGGTGAAAAGAGTCTGTAAATTGTGGGGGACAAAGTAGCAGAATCTACCTGGAGACTTTCCTCCTCTGTGTTAAAATGATGGCAGAAGGACGGTCTGTGAGTTCTCAAGGATTCTTTCTCTGCCTAATTTCTGGGCAAGCCTCCTTGTGTGTGGTCGAATCTGAGCTCCTTACCCCGGGCTTGGAGAATGTGGCTAACACCATGTGTTTTCCTTGCATTGCAGCTTTATTACCAGGCGTGGCCTCAAAGTCTGTGCTGATCCACAAGACAAGTGGGTGAAAGCAGCAGTCAAAAGCGTAGACAGCAGGTCCAGCACCAGGATGCAGACCAGCCCTACAGGAGCCCAGCAGACCACCCACACAGCGGTGACCCTGGCCTGATAGAGGCCCTCCAGCATCCTGTGCCCTCCACAGCTGCCTAGCTCATGTCCCCCACAGGGCCATGGACTAATTAGGGTGTTTTCACCTTTCACGAAAGTGCTGCATGAGTGAAGTTATTGTATTTTTGTCTTTATCGTCTTTCATATTCATTTAGATGCTGTAATTAATAAATATTTATTATTAAGAATGATTCTGAGCCCTAATCATTATATAGGGAATGGTAATATATCCTTGATGCTCTAATCCTGACCCAACTGGGTCTCTCTTCAGTGGCATCCATGGTGGGTGAGATTCTGGCCAGTGTTGATCAGAGATGAAAACTACGCTTATCACTCTTCAGTTCTAGGTTATAATGATTCTCTAAACTTGAGTTAAAGGTGACTCAAGATCTGTATCAACTTTTCAACTTGTCCTCATAACAAAGTGCTAGTTATAGAATAAGGAAGAAAATCATGCAATTATCATTGCCTATTAGGAAGATCCATTACTCAAAAAGTGGCTTCACTCAAGTTTGATCTCTAGGAAATAATTCTCTTACTTCTTTGTTTCTTTTGATCTATTGAGGGGCAGGAGGAGGGACAGGACTTGTTTCTTTTACTTGTTCAGTTAGTTGAAGTTAGACTTTTAGTGTAAAAGAAACTATATTCAAATAAAAAATCAATGATTTTTGAATTAGGCAATATCCAACCACCTGATGATTGTTTCTGTAATTGTCACTATACTAATTATCATGGAAGTCAAGCTTTACTGTCAAAAAGCTTTTAACACCCTCCAGACACAATCAAGTGGGATATTTCTTGATATAATCACTATTTACAGCACACTTTTAATTAAATTTTCATTCAGTCACTCAACACCCCAGAGTCTTGCTCTCTTGTTTTCTCATTAAATTGCTGATTTGCTTCATGTTTACAGTTCTACTCTCCAAGTGGCTAAAGATGCAACCCCTATTCCATCTGGCTCTGAGTGGTAAGAACTGGCCTTCTCTTGATAGTTTCAATGGCAGAGGAATCCCAGCCTACGCTCAGCAATATCAACAGCCAAGGAGGGTGACCAAGGAGAGCTCATTAGAATCACCTCTCTTATGGGCTGGGGATTTAGCTCAGTGGTTTCACCGCCTACTGCGCAAGCACAAGGACCCGAGTTCGATCCCGGGTACCAAAAAAACAAAACAAATAGAATCACCTCGCTTCTGCTCACATAGGTAGGGAACCAGAGTGGGTGCGATTCGAAAGTTGCCTCCTTGGGCCGGGGATTTAGCTCAGTGGTTCCGCTGTCTGCCTCGCAAGCGGAAGGACCCGAGTTTGATCCCCAGTACCAAAAGAAAAAAGAAGTTGCCTCCTTGCCAAAGATGGGGCCACCTACCCCATCTCACTGCCATTTGTCACAGTAACTTTCAGAGATGTTTTAAAGAAAGCAAGCCCTGAGTAAGACTAGAACTCATGCTCTGTGAGGAGTAATGGTTAAGGAAGTCATAAAGAAGGAGTACAGGGTACTTCCCAAGTGCCTCCCTGACCCTAGGGGCTACATGAGATAATAATAATGCCACGTGTGGGAGGAGTGGGCAGCACATACTTCTCATTCTGTAACACTTTAATTTTTGTTAGCAAATAGTTTCTATTATGTAACCAGAACTCTTTCTCGCTTAACAGTGTTAGTTCATTTAATGACATTCAGATGCAATTTTGGAAAAAAACATTGAGGCATGAAAAAGGTTCACTGACTTTCTTAAGTCCCTTGGTTGGCCAGGGGTAGACTCCGCCCTGAGCCTATGCAAGCACAGTCCCAAGTTCAAGCTGTCAACAGGCACCTCCCGCCCCTTCCTCTCTCACAAGCCAGGTCTCTTAAGACCAAAACATACAGAAAGGCTCATGAAGAGACTACTCAGGGTGACATAGTTTCCTGCGTCATTCATTCATTTGGCAAATGTGCACTGCGGGCCTTCTACGTGCCAGAACCAGGAGATGCAGCAATGAACAGAAAAAAAGTCCTTCTTCATTTTGGGGAAAATCTAAACTGACACTTTCCTTCTGGTATTGTGTCACTCACCAGGACAGGCGCTCGCTGTGTGTCCGAGCATTTAGGAAGAACCGCTGGATATGGTGACCTTTGAACTTGACCTGCTATGGTGCACCCCGTAGTCCCTTTTCCTGCCCAGTCAGGGAACACAGCAGTCAGGAGGACTGGCAGGATGGCCTGGCTGTGCATGTGTAAATGCGTCAGGCCAACAACTCTGTTCACTAATTTCCTTGGCTGCAGGGAGCCAAGACTGGGGTAAAAGAAACTATCATTTATGGGATTTACCTTATGATCTGCATTATTTATTCATCAAGCTGAGGTCAGATCTGTGGGAACAAAATCAGTCACCCTTCTAGAAGAAGGAGGTCGGATTGAAGAGCAAGGAATGTGTATTAGTGCAGTTCCCGAGACCCACCAACCAAGCCCTTTCTGATTGGTCCAAGGTCCTGAGTATGTGTTGAGCGTCTGCAGAGTTCACAGGCACAGGATCCTGACTGTTGTCAGGAAGTCAGGATGGCCTCAAAGCCACTCCCACTGAGGTTCCAGTGGCCCCGCTCGGGCTCCCCTCCTCTGGGAGACCTTCCTGACGTCCTCCATCCACACCAGACAACCCTCATGTTCCCACTCAGCCTCTGTGCTCCCATCTGTTACTGCTCGTGTCACCCCACAATACCATTTTCTGTGCCTTTGTTTTCTGTCTCACTTAGTAGTTGAGGTAGAGACCCCATAAGAAGCTGCTTGCCAGACTTGTTTGCTCTTCCTTGTGAGCGCAGACCTGCGCATTTCTGTCCCATCTTGTGGCCTGGGGCCTACTTCTACTGCATTATGAGAACAAGCAGTGTGTAGTGTTTCTAGCTTGGGCTGCTAAGAATCATCCACGTACAATCGTCCATGTGCTTCCCCTCTGGCTGACAAGAGGGAGAAAAACTCCCCAGCACCCCTAGGAACTTCAGAGCCTTTGTTAAAAATGACTTCTTCTGGGGCCGGGGATTTAGCTCAGTGGTTTCGCCACCTGCTGCATAAGCACAAGGACCCGAGTTCGATCCCAGGTACCAAAAAAAAAAAAAAAAATGACTTCTTTCAACCAAAAGCCACATGAGAAGGTCACGTAAATAAATAAAACTAAAGCCTTATTGTGCAAAGGCATTGAGAGTCGGGTTTTTATCTATTACAGCAGGTAGGGCCCTTAATAAAGATACACACCTGTATGAAATAGTAGGAGAAATTGAACATATTTTAAATTATTTTTTATAAAAATCAGAAATAGAGATCATATGAGCAATGTGGCAGCGTGCGTTAAGGAAAGAAATATCTGCTTTCTCATCAAAGAGAGTGCCGCAGAGGGGACATGGTGGTGCCCACCTGTGATCTCGCACTCCAGGAGGCTGAGGCAGGAGGACTGAGCTTGAGCCCAGCCTGGGCAACTTCATGACTTAGTGAGACCCTGTTTCAAAATAAAACATAAAAAAAGAGCTGGGCTTGAACTGAGTTTATATTCTATAAAATGTTAATGTTACATAATCTTTCAAAACTCAATGGACCATATATGTGTGGTTCTATTTCTAGATTCTCTGTTTTATTC